CAGTTGGAGCCTCCGGGTGCTCCTCAAGGGGAGCCCCATGTAGAGAGCGTTGCAATAGTCCAGGCGGGAGGTGACAAGGGCATGAGTGACCGTACGTAAAGAGTCCCGATCCAGAAAGGGACGCAACTGGCGAATCAGGCGAACCTGATGAAAAATCCTCCCGGTCACGGCCGTCAAGTGCTCTTCTAAAGACAGCCGTGAGTCCAGGAGGACGCCCAAGTTGTGAGCCCTCTCCGTGGGGGCCAATGATTCGCCCCCAATAGTCAGTGATGGCGTCAACTGACTATATCGGGACGTCGGAAACCACAGCCACTCAGTCTTGGATGGGTTGAGCCTGAGCCTGTTCCTCCCCATCCAGATCCGTACGGCCTCCAGGCACCGGGACATCACTTCAAGGGCATCGTTGGGGTGATCCGGGGTGGAGATGTACAGCTGGGTGTCGTCAGCGTACTGATGGTACTCCACCCCGAAACCACGGATGATCTCGCCCAGCGGCTTCACATAAATGTTGAACAGGAGAGGCGAGAGGACCGACCCTTGCGGCACCCCACATATGAGGGGCCTCGGGGTCGACCTCTGTCCCCCTGTCAACACAGACTGCGACCGGTCAGAGAGAAAGGAGGAGAACCACCGCAACACAGTGCCTCCCACCCCCAACTCTTCCAACCGGTGCAGCATGATACCATGGTCGATGGTATCAAAAGCCGCTGAGAGATCTAACAGGACCAGGACAGAGGAGCACCCCCTGTCCCGAGCCCTCCAGAGATCATCAACCAACGCGACCAATGCCGTTTCCGTGCTGTACCCGGGCCTGAAGCCCGACTGGAACGGATCCAGATACGTCGTTTCATCCAGGTGCTGGGGGAGCTGTTGCGCGACCACACTCTCAACAACCTTCGCAACAAAGCGAAGATTGGAGACCGGACGATAATTTACCAACATTGCCGGGTCCAGGGAAGGCTTCTTGAGGAGAGGCCTCACCACCGCCTCTTTCAAGGCGGCGGGAAAGTCACCCTCACTCAGCGAAGCGTTTATAATCCCCTGGAGCCAGCCTCGTGTCACTTCCCGGGAAGCCAGTACTAACCAGGAAGGACACGGGTCCAATAAACAAGTGGTCGCGTTCAGTCTACCCAGAATCCTGTCCACGTCCTCAGGGGTCACAGGATCAAACTCATCCCAGATAACATTCTCAAGACCTGCCCCTGTCTCTCCCCTGAGACTACCCAGTCGGAGTCCAAATCTTCCCGAATCTGAGTGATTTTGTCATACAGATACTGAACAAAATCCTCGGCTCTACCCTCCAAGGGGTCCTCCCGCGCTTCCTGGTGGAGCAGGGAGCGGGTCACCCTAAAGAGGGCGGCCGGGCGATTATCTGATGACGCAATAAGAGCAGCAAAATAACTACATTTCGCTGCTTTGTATATATGTATGTATGTATGTATGTGTGTATATATATATATACACATACATACATACATATATACATACATATATACATATATGTATATGTATGTGTGTGTGTGTGTATATATATATATATATATGTTTTCTCAGGTTTTCGCGGGTGTTTGTATGTAGGTCTTTGGTTATTCGGGTCTTCTCCCACGTAAAATTGGAAGTGTCTTGGCGACGTTTCGACGAAGTCTCATTCGTCATCTTCAGGCTGGTGTTCTCGGCTTCATGCTTCCAGGAGCAATGTGAGATCGCAGCTGTCTCTTCCTTTTAACTGCTAGTGGAGGTGTGAGCTGATTGGGTGGGAACTTGGCTGTGTTCTGATTGGGTGGAGGTGTGTTCTGATTGGTTAGGGGCTTGGCTGTGCTCTGATTGGCTGGGGTTGTGTTCTGTTTGGGTGGGGGCTTGGTTGTGCTCAGCTTAGTCTGAGTTGCAGGGGGATTTGAGCTGGTGAGCTGCGTTGTTGTTGTTTGGCTTCGTGTTTGTGGCCGTGCGAGCTCTTCATGGTGGGTGTCAGTCTGCTTCATGTATGGATTGGAGGGGTTTAAAGTGGCTAATGATGCAGTATTATATATAATACTTTTTTAGTCAGGGTTTTTTCCTACGTAGCTCAAGATGTTTGTATGGCCATAGTTGGGTGATATCTCAAATCACCACTTTCAGGCTTTATCAGACATTTTGTGTTTGTCTGTTGTGAGACTTAAGGAAGACTGGGATATATATATATATCTCAAGAGCCTTGGTGGAGCAGCGGACTAAAGTGCTGTTAAAGTAGCACTTAGCTGCCAGCTGCCTGCAATTACTGCGAGTTCAAATCTCACCAGGCTCAAGGTTGACTCAGCCTTCCATCCTTCCGAGGTAGGTAAAATGAGGACCCGGATTGTGGGGGCAATAAGCTGACTTTGTATAAAATAGAACACTGCTTAGGGGGCCCCGAAAGCCCTACTAAGCAGGTATATACAAAAGTATGAAGGCTATTGCTTAACGCATTGTAAGCGGCCCTGAGTCTCCGGAGAAGGGCGGCATATAAATCGAACCAATAAATAAATAAATTATATATATATATCATATATAAGATATATATCTTATATATATATCTTACTTATAGTCATAAGTAAGCTTTTAAAAATGTCTTTTAGCTTTGCCTATTTTAATTTTTTTAAAAAAACGTTTAAAATTATTCATTGTTCGTATTCCGACCCTTCTTACGGTGGTCTATGATCCTAATAATGATTTGATTGATATGACCAAGTAAATTACTTGCTTGGCTCTGCAGGGAAGCTGGCAGGACAAGTCAGAAGGTGCAGCTGTGTGAGAGTCAAGCCCAATTGCCAGCTGTCCGCCTGAGACAATTCATTACCTCGCTGTTGTCTTCCATTAGACAATATCAAGATAAAACGTCTTTGACCTTCTGCTCAACCCAACTTGCCTTATGAAATATCACTTCCAATTATTTCCCATCAACCCCACTAACTCACCCAATTTCCAATGAATTGTAATAAAGCATTAAGTCATTCTAATGAACGCTTTTGGACAAAGAAAACGGATAGAGGAAGGCAGAAATATCCTCAGAAACAGAAATACAGGTGGTCCTCGAATTACGACTGCCATTGAGCCCAAAATTTCCATTGCTAAGTGAGACACTTGTTAAGTGAGTTTTGCCCCTTTTTATGACCTTTCTTGCCACAATTTTTAAGTGAATCACCGCAGTTGTTAAGTTATTAGCACGGTCGTCGTTAAGCGAATCTAGCTTCCCCATTGACTTTGCTTGCCGGAAGGTCACAAAAGGGGATCACATGACCCCAGGACACTACAACTGTCATAAGTATGAGTCAGTTGTGCCAAGTATGTGAATTTTGATCACAGGACTATGGGGATGCTGCAATGGTCAAAAATGTGAAAAGTGATCATACGTCACTTTTTTCCGTGCTATTGTAACTTCAAACGGTCACCAAATGAACTGTTGTAAGTTGAAGACTACCTGTATCTTTTAAAACATTGATCTGTATTCATTCCAGAAATTGCTTTGGATTTTTAATGTGATAGTGCAGGGGGAAATGTGAAATACATAGGATAAGTCATTATTAACTATTAACTATAAAACATTTCAGTACAAATAAAATAATTATTAATCATAGTTATCACATTCATCCAGATTATATATTTCTAATAGTAATATATATTTATATCAAATAATCTTTTATTATTTCATATTGTTTAAACGTACATAATACTATCGCTATTCAATTTCTAAACCTCTCTCTTACATTACACTTATCTTATCCTATAAAAATATGTATACTAATATTCCTCCTTTCTCTTACTTCTGTCTTTATTCTAACTTTTATTCAGGTGACTATTATATTAAAAGACGTTCCCTTTGTATTACAATACTACCCATCATTATTTCATTGTTCAATATTTAAATATGCAATTCTAATACCAATCACAACATTATGCCAAATCCATTCTAAACACCTATGCAACCAAACCGTAATAATAATAATTTATTAAACGTATATGCTGCCCAGTGGTGAAATCCAAATTTTTTTACTACCGGTTCTCTGGGCATGGCTTAGTGGGCATGGCAGGGGAAGGATATTGCAAAATCTCCATTCCCACCCCACTCCAGAATAGAATATAGAATAGAATAGAATTTTTATTGGCCAAGTGTGATTGGACACACAAGGAATTTGTCTTTGGTGCATATGATCTCAGTGTACATAAAAGATACGTTCATCAAGAATCATAAGGTACAACACTTAATGATGGTCATAGGGTACAAATAAGCAATCAGGAAACAATATCAATATAAATCGTAAGGATACCATCAACAAGGTTACAATCATACAGTGATAAGTGGAAGTAGACGGGTGATGGGAACGATGAGAAGATTAATAGTAGTGCAGACTTAGTAAAGGGGAAGGATACTGCAAAATCCCCATTCCCACCCCACTCTGGGGCCAGCCAGAGGTGGTATTTGCTGGTTCTCCGAACTACTCAAAATTTCCGCTGCAGAACCTGTCAGAACCTGCTGGATTTCACCCCTGATGCTGCCCCATCTCTCAACAACTCTGGACAGCTCCTAATCAAACCCAAAAAAATTGACAATAAAACTTTTTTTTTTTAAAGGAAAATAGATGGAAATTGCAATGAAATGATTCCATTCACAAAGGTGGGGGGGGACCCCATTTTTATTTTTATTTTTTGCTAGTGGCTTGAACACTGTTGCGCCTTTAACCACAGACCTGCAGAAATGAAGGGTTTTTTTTACACACACACACACACACAAAATTGATGCAAAACACTTTCACCCTTGCTGGGCTGCTCCATGCAAAGCTGAGGACGGAAGTGAGCAGCGGGGCTCATTTAAAGGTACAGCAGAGGTGAGCAGTCCGATCCAGTTGGGATCCCCTTGGAACCGGCTTTGTGGACGGCGGTCTCTTTAAGAAGGAGTCACGGAGCCAAAGTACGCAGCTGCCTGGGCAAAGCCACCCTCCTCCTCCTCCTCCTCCTCCTCCTCCTCCTCCCCCCCACCCTTCTGGGCCCCAGACAGCAAGAAGACCTCATCTTGGCTGCCTCTCCTCCAAGCCCCCCCCCCTCCCCTAAAACTCAGCACCATGGAAGGGGACAGCAGAGGAGGTGAAGATGTCATCATGTTGGTCCTTTGATTAAGGATGCTCTTTGGTGATGGGGGAGGAAGGGGGGGAGTGAAGGGCTGGGGGGGGAACCAGGAAGAGCACCTGAAGGGCTGGGGTGGGGGGGGAACCAGGAAGAGCATCCTTCATCCCTCTGCCAGCTGCATCCGTCTCTCTCTCTCTCTCTTTCTTTCTCATCCCCGCCTTGTCTCTTGTCTTCCTCGGCTGTCGACAGGGCGCTGACCGAGCTGGCAAGCATCGGCCCGCCTCCTATGAGCACTGCAGTGGGGTTGCACGCTGACACCCCCCCCCCACCCACCCACACCTCCGTCTCTCTTCCTCTGTCTCCCCGGCTTTCTAAGAGGTCCCCGAGGCAAGATCTGTTTCGGGGAATCGTCCCTGCCATCTCTTCTCCGGCTGGCCTCTCTCAGGTGAGTACCACCACCGTCATCATCGCCACCACCGGTGCAAGTGGTCCTGAGGGGGGAAGGGATTAAAATTGCACGGGTGGGAGAAGTTGGGACTTGTGCAAGTGTGCAAAGCGCCAGGTTTGGTTGATTTTCGGGGCGGTGGGCATCCGGCTGTCAGGGATCGCAGCCCGGAGGGCATCAGCATGACTCACACCTTCCACCGGCCTTTTGGAGAAAAAAAAACCAATAAGGTGATCCATGAAAGGAAGATGGTTTGCTTGCAAAAAATCCCCCCCCCCCTCCAAAAAATAGGGATTTTTGCAAGCAGGAAAAGTGACTCTGGCAGATGGTGGGGTGGGGATTTTTCAGGGTCGTGCATGGATCTCTGGATCAGGAAAATCAATAAATAGTTAAACCTTTCCCTGGTTAGAAAGGTGGGTGGATGGCTGAGAAATCTTCATCATCCTTGCATAGAACATCCATAGATATCTTGGTTTGGTTTACGTGGCTCGTAAACGGACCACGATGCAGGGCCAAGCAGGGTTTCAAACAGGCCAGAGCTTCTCTTAAAATTTTTGCTGAAAAATGCATTTTGAGGTCATGGCTGCAGTCTCTTTAAAATGAGGCCGAACCACCGAAATTTGTCCTTCTGGCCTTAATTCTCCTTTTCTCCATTCAAGGTCATTAGTAGATGTTGTTCTCCTATCTTTTAGAATAACCTTGCTTAGTTCTGGTTTAAAGGGGCGTGAAACTGATTTGTTTAAAAAAGCGGTGACTTCGTTGGGAATTGGTGTGGCATTTTAAAGAATTTTTTTTTTCTCCGATCTTTCCCCTGGGTTGGACACCCCAAAATCCTTCAGTCTTAGGCCTGACGTTTGCATCATGTTCTCGGCAGTTTTCCCAGGCTTTATTTATAATGGTGGATTTCTTTTCTCCCTTTGGAAAACCTTTAATTTTGTCTTTTGTCTTAAGCACTGTTCCCAGTTGAGCAGGCCCTCCTTGGATGCAAAGGTGGCATTTTGTCCGCTGTAAACAACCAAATCCTCTATCTTATGACTTTCTGAGTCATCAGTAGGTCCTTAGCATCCCTGAAGAGGTTAGAATAGATTCTTTCAAATATAATTAACACCGTGGCCGCCTTGTTATGTAGGAGATTTCCTTCCCACACCCTTGTCAAAGGATGCAAGCTTGGCGGTTTTCTGATGATAACTGTAGCTGTACCTTAAGTGATCACATGAGAATAACACAATAACAGAGTGGGAAGGGACCTTGGAGATGTTCTAGTCCAGCCCCCGGTTCATGCAGGAGACCCTTACAGAATTACAGAATAACAAGAGTTGGGAGGGAAGAAGGAAGGGAGGGATGGAGAAAGGGAGAAGGAAGGAAAATAAGGAAGGGAGGATGCTTCTAAACACAACATTATTTGTTCGTCCTTGGTGCTCTCTGAGCTTGGTTGTTTTCTTGCAAGCATTTCATGACCCAACTGGGTAACATCATCAGTGCTTAGAAGAGAGCGGAGGTTAACCTCTATTTATATACAAGCGGTTTGTCCTGGCAGTGTTTTTGGAAGTATGTTTTTTTTTCCCCCTGGTTCCTTCACTACGATACTGTTTCCTCCTTGGTTATTTGTCTGGTGTTAATCCATGCTTATCTGGGTTTCTCTTTCTGTGGAGTCCTTGGTAACTCTCTGAGCCTGGCTGTTTTCTTGCAGACTTGCAGTTGTGTTAGAGCTACAAATATTCTCTCCTATCGGTACAGCGATACTTGCGTTGTGAGTCACACAAGCGTATTTTTGCTAGCAAGCGGCCCCTTGTAAAACCAAGACTGGATTACTGTGTGACGCAGTGGAGGCTCAGCAAAACTTGGAAGAAATGCACCGATTCGCTCAGGATCTCATCAAATCATCCTGTTGGGGCTTGGGAAAATTTTCACAGGTTATCCAAATGGTTCAAAAATCAAAAAGCAATGTTGCACGTCCATTTCCCAATAGAGAAGGTTGGAAATGGAGCTGAGTGGCACAATGACTCTCTGGCAGCCCCAGTCAAGAATTCAACCACCTGATTAAACTTTCTGCCTATCAAAGTTCTTCTCGATCGACTAAGCTAACATTGGTTTAGTTTACATTCCTTGTTTTGTTCTCTCCGTTTTTTTAACCTAAAGGAGCCACAAACCTTTAACTGGGTCTCCCTTGAGCTGATTGTTAATGGTTCAGTGCTGGACTTGCCAACTCACCTGGAAGGCAACTCTCTACCTATAGGCTAAAATACCTGGTCTGTTTGTTACTTTGTCCTCCAGGATCAAACCTTCTTCTTAAATTTTGTATAATTGAGGCACCATAAATCTCTCGATAATAAACAAATGGAACCCAAGCAAAGGATTTAACATGGTGGCTTGAGGATTCGCTGCTTTTAAAAATAGAAACTGGTCAAGAGAAGGACGGAAAGAAGGAGGAAAGAGAGGAAGGAAGGAGGGAGGGAAGGAGGAAGGGAGGAAGGGAGGGGAGAAAGGAAAGAAGGGAGGGAGGGAGGGAAGGAGGAAGGAGGGAGGGAGGGAGGGAGGAGGAAGGAAGGGAAGAAGGGAAGAAAGGAGGGAGAGGAAGGAAGCAAGGAAAAGGATGGAAGAGCGGGGGAACAGAGGAGGGGTGAGGAGAAGGAAGGAAAGAAGGAGAGCACGGAAAAGTAAAGAAGGGAGGGAGGGAAGGAAGGGAAGAAGGGAAAGAAGGAGGGAGAGAGGAAGGGAGGGAGGGAGGGAAGGAAAGGAAGGAAGGAAGGGGGAGCAAGGAAAAGGAAGGAAGAGAGGGAGGGAAGGAGGAAGGGAAGGAGGGGTGAGGAGAAGGAAGGAAGGAGAAAAAGAATGGAAAAGAGAGGGAGGGAAGGAAGAGTGCGGAAAAGGAAGGAAGAGAGGGAAGGAGGGAGGGAGGAAGGAAAGAAAGAAAGGGAGGGAGGGAGGAGGAAGGAAGGGAAGAAGGGAAGGAAGGAGGGAGAGGAAGGAAGCAAGGAAGCAAGGAAAAGGATGGAAGAGAGGGAGGACGGAGGAGGGGGTGAGGAGAAGAAAGAAGGAGAGCACAGAAAAGTAAGGAGGGAGGGAAGGAAGGAAGGGAAGAAGAGAAAAGGAGGGAGAGAGGAAGGGAGGGAAGGAAGGAAGGAAAGAAGGGAAGAAGAGAAAAGGAGGGAGAGAGGAAGGGAGGGAAGGAAAGGGGAGCAAGGAAAAGGAAGGAAGAGAGGGAAGGAAGGAAGGGGGAGTGAGGAAAAGGAAGGAAGGAAATAGGAAGGGAAGGAAGAAAGAAAGGATAGAAAGAAGGGAAGGAAGGGTGGAAAGAAGGGAAGGAAGGCTATAGAAATTTATAGGGAGGAGCCCAGTAGGACAACTACACACTGCCGCTTGAGCTGGTCCAAACCACACAAACTAATTGTGACACACAGCCAGTGGCAGTTGCGTGAATACGGAGGACGACACATGTATCCCTGCCCTTGAAAAATGCTTAGTAGCTCAGGCACGTTCTGAGTTAAGCTGCAGGCCAACTAACCAAAGTTAGTTAGCGGAGGGAGCGCACACCGGATGCGATGCCTGAGAGATAAGCGGGCCAAAGACCAGGCCAACCAGGAGTGCCAGTTCTCCTGGCACCCCAGAGGCACCCCAGACACAGCCAAGTGACATCACCCCACCAAGTTTACTCAATGAACACGAATCGCTCATCGCTCCGTTTGGCTGGCGCCTTAGAAGAACAGTTTAAAAATGACTGATTGCTTTTTAAACAGGTTTTGAAAGTTTGGTAGTGGTTGTTGCATTTTCATTTTATTTTATTTTTTGTAGATGTGAGAAGAGTGGTATCCAACGGTGGGTCCTTGATGCTCTCTGGGCATGGTTCTTTTCTTGCAGACCTTTTATGACCCAGCTAGATTGCATCATCAGTGCTAGAAAAGAGTGGAGTTTGCATAGACTGCAGTGGTGAAATCCAAATTTTTTTTACTACCGGTTCTGTGGGCTTGGCTTGGTGGGCATGGCAGGGGAAGAATACTGCAAAATCTCCATTCCCTCCCCACTCCTGGGGGAAGGATATTGCAAAATCTCCATTCCCACTCCACTCTGGAGCCAGCCAGAGGTGGCATTTGCCAGTTCTCCGAACTACTCAAAATTTCTGCTACCGGTTCTTCAAACTACTCAAAATTTCCGCTACTGGTTCTCCAGAACCTGTCAGAACCTGCTGGATTTCACCCCTGATATACTGGTATATAAACAGAGAACAAACCACACTCCTTTCCAGTACTGATGATGTTACCTAGTTGGGTAATAAGATGTCTACAAGAAAACAACCAAGCTCAGAGAGCACCAAGGATCCCACAGTTGTTGCCCTCCTTCTCCTTCTCTGCAAATCCCCCTCCCTTCTAGCACTGGTGATATTACCTAGTTTGGTAATGAAACATCTGCAAGAAAACAATTAAGACCACCTAGGACCCCCTTAATTCAATCCTGAGCTACAAATATTCTCTTCTATCAGAGTGGTAGCTAAATTTGACAAATAAATAAATATACAAACATGCAAACAAACTTAGATTACCGTACTTTCTGCATAGGTTCAGAAGAACTTCAGTACAGGTAGTCCTCAACTGACGACCACAACGGAGCCCCAAAATGTATGTTGCTAAGTGAGGCATTGGTTAAGTGAGTTTTGCCCCATGTTACGACTTTTCTTGCCACCGTTGTTAAGGAGAATCGTGGCATTTGTTAAGCGAGTGACCCGGTTGTTAAGCAAATCTGGCTTTCCCGTTGTCAGAAGGTCGCAAAAGCGGATCACGTGACCCCGGGATGCTACGACCGTCATAAGTATGAACCAGTTGCCAAGCGTCTGAATTTTGATGACATGATCGTAGGGCTACTGCAATGGTCTTAAGTGTGAAAAACAGTCTTACGGTTATATTTTTCTGTGCCGTTGTAACTTGGAATGGTCGCTGAATGAACTGTTTTAAGTCAAGGACTACCTGTATAACATCTTTGGCAGCTGCTCTTCTCTTCCCATTTCT